GAAAGACACTTAATTGAAAATAGCACTTTGGAGCACTTCAGGCTACAAACTAAAGTGTAGGTTTTATAGGTCTTAGGAGCACACCCTGTGAGAGAGTTCATCATCTTAATTTTCAAATGAACCTAAGAAGCCAAACATCTTACCCCAGTTCATGAGATAATTAGGACACTAGATACGAGCGTGCACTAGATTGTGATTCATGACTAGTTTAATTAAATCAAATAATGAAATTCTTGTCTTAACTTGACCAAAACTGAAACTCAATGCTCCAGGATTTAAGCTTGAGTCTTACACTCAGATCCTCCTGGCAATTGGGGACATTCCCAATATCACATATAAATCTCATATTTTTTTGTTATTTATATGTGCTATGGTATTTTGTTTTATTTGTTTGTCTTTTCCCTACCACTTGTCGGTTTTCCTCGAGTTTTTCAGGACGTGTTTTCTCCTTTTATACAGCGCATACTAGCTAAGCTTAAGGGAGCGTCAGGACTCCCAAAAATATACAGGTTTGATTTATATTACAGCATTTTATTTCATAGCATGTTATACTTTTCCTCTTGTTATGTATACTGTTTTGGATAGCCTGTTGTACTGTTTTCTCAACCTGTTATACTATAGCCTGTTATATTATTTTTGCTAGCATGTATACTATTTTGCCCAGCCTATTATTGTTTCTTTAGCTTCTTATAGTATTCGCCTGACATGTAATATTATTTTTTTCTTCCTTTATATATATCACATGTTTCATTTGGTTTAATACACGCTATGCCTTAGTATAGGATAACCTAGTGGTTAGATGCATTTTCAAAACTAAAACTAAACCTGAAGGTGCTACTACGAGGAGTTTGGAGCGAACATCGTGGGCAGCACGGTGAGGAACAACTTCAAAATGGATCTGCAATATCAAACATTTTCACGTCACCTATCACTCTCTTTAGTTTAAATAACAACCCCTAGGATTTCGAGGTAGTTTGTCTAGTGCAGCGTAAACCCTCATATATCACCTTTTAGGCTTTTACACAACCCTATTGTGTAATTATAAGTCCTAACACTTTAGGATTTCGATGTTACTGTACGGTACGGTGTAAATCCTCCTATCTTTTTAGGTTATTTGCACATTTCGATATTGTGGAAACATAAGTCTTAAATTTTAAATAATTTGCAGGATTGAAATATCAAATAAGCATCACTTCAAATACATAAATCCGAACATTATGATAGTTGGGACATCCCCGGGGTTTCTCCTAGGTCTGTGATGTCCCCTACTATTCGCTCCTTTGGATTCCTTATAATAACAATTCCTATTCCGAGTCACTCCCATTTGATTTTCCCTGTTCAATCTAGGAAACCTAAACTTAGAAATCTTAAAGGCAAAACCACTGATCTTAATCGAGAGTTTTCTTAAGTGATCCTGGTCATTTAAGATGTAATTAACTATAGGGGTTTGCCTTTATAGGGAACTTGAAACCCAGATAAAATAAACTCTATCTAATCCTCATATTAGGTAGAAGAATTTGTTGGCATCATAAAAAATATTTCGCAGACCAAACAGATGTCACAAATTCTTTAGTTTAGGTGATTGAGCCTACTATAGGTGATATGTTTATTCTTCGGGATAAGTGTATTACTTGTGGTATCGTGCTTAGTCACCCAAACTATTCAAAATATAAGACTCGTTTGGTTTCACCTATTTTAAATCAAAATGTTACTTTCAAAATCATATTCATATTGACAGGAGGACAAAACTATTTTCATATTTTTCCTATATTTTTCAAGATCAAAATTAAAACGGTCGACAGAAGGAAAGACCCTTACACATTTGTGGTGCAGTGGAAGTCAAAGATCTTAAAATAAAAAACAATCATTACCTATAAATATGTTTCTTAATGCGATAAAAAATCGATTTGTGATTTTTTATACAAATAAATGAAAACCCATATATGACTTTATTGTTGTAGTCTGCGTAAAAAAAAACTCAGCTGCAGTGTCTTAAACACTACCCTTAAATGTTTTACTAATGTAGTGGGAAAGCATAAATTTTTTAAAGAAGTCTTCCACATGGCAGAGACACTTGGATAATACTGAATATTTTAGTGACGCGATTTAAAATTTAAAGAGATCAAACTATTTTCTATACCTAAAACAAAACTAGAAAATGAACAACAATTTAAAAAAAAAAATTAAATCATCAATGATACAAACAAATAATTAAAGTGACAAACATGACACTGATCTAAAGTTTACCCAAAAATGGAGTTTAGTTGTGCGAGGATCTAGGGATATGTAGTGATTAAAAGGAGGGCATAAGCAAACAGAAACTATCAGAAATAATCATGGCAAAGCAGAAAACCTGTTGTTAGGCAGAGAATTTGGGGAAAAGGAGCTTGGCAATTAGTGTGAGGGTTGGATTCTACGTAGAAAGGATTCTGCCACCTATACTCAATCAAAATACAGTCGCACCACTTTGAAAAAGTCGGTTGCAGCTCTCCAATAAATAAAAAAATAGAGAATAGTCTCCAAATATCATAAAATCAAAGCAAAAGTTCTCAAACCAGATCCTAAACAATATATTTAAACGCAGTAAGCAAAGATACCCTAGTAATAACCTAAATAAAGTAACTAATAATTCTCGGGTGGATCGACCAAGCTTAAGAGAACAACAATTCTCCGAACTGACCACAGAGAATAGAACAAATCCTAGTTGAATCTAGGTTGAACTACTCGTGTCCGCCCCAATGATGCGGTAGTCTCTGTCATTGTCCCCGAGTATGAGTGTCCTCTTCCTCTTCAGAAGCCTCTAGATCCCATAATATGTAAAGGTAGCCAATATTGTAATCGCTAACTTAATCAATTTTATATGCATTGTTATTAATTCTCTTAGTAATCTTGAAAAAATAGTCAGCCTTAAGTCTGAGCTCACCAAAATAAACTACAGAATATTCCTCAGTCAACCTGATCCCCATAAATCACCTTCATTGAAAACCATAGCCCTCTGGACTTGTTAGCCTATTTCTGATACGTTATGTTATACTTAGCAATTGATTTGAGGGTACACAGCAGAACTGAATTGGAGTTACCAAACTTACCTCATAAAATCTTTCAAAAGTAACTCGAAAACTTTGTGTTTATGTATTGAATGATGGTAATGGGCACATCATGAAGATATAGTTCGGTCTAGCCCTGCTAGACTGGCCAGCCCTTAAGTAGGGGCGGGATTTACCGCCCCCAGCTCTCGCCTTCCTTTACCCTTTGATCCCCCATTTCCTTTCCTATTACTCTCCTTTATACTCCATTCATTTTCTACTTTCTCTTTTATGTTTCTTTCTTATTCTAACCATTACATAATCTAGTTATTAATCCTTGGTTTAAATAGGTGTGGGATTTACTTAGGTCAATTGGTTGTTGATTGATTTACTAAGTTCCGAGTCTGTCGTCGGCATATTCCCCTTCTGATGATTATATCCGACGACGAGAAAGTGTTCCGATTATAACTCCTATGAGGTGGTGATTATCTCCATCATTTTTTGTTACTGCACTCACCAATTCCAGCCCCTGTTGCCTCCACTCTCCATGCCAAATACAGCTATCGCCTCTTATGATTCCCAGAACTGTCGCATTCATCGTTTGCCCCTCCAAGTCGCGGATATCAAATTCTTGCGATGCTCGAATTGTTGTGATCGATTGCCAGAGCTTCCTATTTGTCGCACAACTCTCTTGCGGGTCTAGGTTGTTGCATAACTCTCTTGCGGGTCTAGGCTGCCGCAAGTTCTCTTCCCTGCGATCCCGAGTGTCATTGGTTCCTCCCTCCAGCTTCCACCGACAGCCAGTTCCCTCCTGAAGCTCTACCTAATCGCCTTCCCTTGTCCAACACTCGCATCCCACTTCAAGGCAAGTCAACAACCACTTCCACCACCACCCGCACCCATCATCCGCCACATCTCCGCCAAGCTGCCCCTGCCTTCCACCAGCCTCCCGCATCTGCTGCTACCCTCCACCCCCACCAGCCACCCACACCTGTCGCTTGCAGACACCGATTGCACCTTGTTCCCCGCCAATGTCATTGGATACCCTTCTTGTCGTCATTGGATCATGCAAGTCTTACCTTCATTATCTTGTTTTATTCTTTTGAGCTCGATTGTACCCTACATTATTTACTTGATAAAATTTATCTTCCATCGTCATGGGCTAAGATACTCCGATATCAACCTCCTCAAATATAAATATGCAATGTGTAAAGCATCCATCATCTTGTGGTAAGGTACAAACAAAAATCGCTAATTTAAAAATCAATTCAGATCACTTTCTCAATAGCTATATTTCAAAAAAACCAGGATGTTATGTTTTAAAAAGCATAGAATACTTCATATTACCAACATCAGTAGCTAACATTCAACAACAGTTATATGGTTCTTTATTTGTACAAAAGCCTTGAATTTGAAAACAATTTTGAGCATTGCAAAGAAGGCTTCAAGGAAAGACTAAAATTTTTAAACAAGTTAAGTTAAAAATAACGATCAAGCACTGTTTGATAGCATAATCAATCTTATTAAAAATAGCAATAGAAAAATACAAATTCAAAAAGACATTGTAACATAGAACCAGGTAATCCAATTGATTTGTATAAAATAGTTTTAAAAGAAAAGATTGCAAATACTGCATCAAAGTCAAGAGTTTAATAATACATTCATGCCGCTATTGAAAATTTAAACTCATAATCTAAAAAATTCTCAAAATATGCTAGCCGGTCCTTTAAAACCATAAACTAATAAATCAAAATATGACCATCTAAATGTTCAATTCAGTAACAATAAAGCAGACTAATAACAAGAAAACTGAGGAAGACCAAATTTTCTATACTGGATTAATACTACGCAAAAAAAAAAAAAAGAAGAAGTAGTCAAAATTTGGCATTAAAGTGAAAGCAACTTGGTCTTAAATAGAACTAAAAGAAAAAATAATAATCTGATAGCATATCTTTGAATGAGATTATGATTTACCAGTCATTGAAATTCAGGTAAGCCGAGAGCTCATAATAGACATGTCCAGCAGCACTATAAGCAGCATCTTTTAGTAGCATTGCAGGACTAATTTCACTTTCTGACGGTGGTGAACCACTCATCGCCTCTTTAAGTATAGAGACCACCACAGGAGCAAGCAGCTGAAAAAAAGGGACACATTATTATGTTCTAAAATGATTACAAATTAAAGACCTTTAGTAAAATTAATCAGCTAACATACAGGTCTATAATTTTCAAACAAAACGATATAGAGAGCTTCAGCACATGGCCTAAGTTTCTCTGACCACTGCAGCATGTCCTGCTCATGGTGAAAGGATTCAGAGTTTTGAAACCATTCATGCAAGTCATTTGACGTGTAAATGAAATACCTGTACGTAGATTTGAAGAATGCATAATTAAGTACAAAAGAAATGATTTCACAATTGGCTAAAAAAACTCATTTAGCCACAAGGTGTAAAATAAATGCAGGTACAAAAAGTACATAAATGCATTGAGTACCAGTAGTCTTATAATCACTGCTCTGAGTAATTAATTAATGATTTACTTAAGTGTCCTCACCCCAATATCACATATAAA